TAAGATAAAAGTATTTTGAAGTCAATATTTAGCTTTTCCAAAATAAATATAATAAAATAAAAAATAAAAATAAATAAAGAAAATTGGAAGAGAAAAAAAAAGTTTAGGCGGGAAAAAATTTAAGGAGAAGCTAACACGTGTACCATTTTAAAAAAATATTGTTATTTTAAAAAATGATTGTTATTTTAGTACTCTGTATTTATTATTATTATTATTATACTCCCTCAGTTTCCATATGTTAGTCCCATATGCTATTTTGGGCGTTTCAAAAAGATCTAACTATATTGAATGTATTCCACTTTTAACTTAGTTTTTATTTCTTATTTTATACCTATTGAATTCTTATTGGTTAAATTAATTGATTGTGAATTGATGACTTGACTCTAAGTAAAGAAATTATTCTCTTGAATTACTCAATTATGGTCGACGGTATCCTAAAAAAACACAAAAAAGTTTAAATAATACAACACAATTTATGAAGTATTTTTGACTTTAATGTTAGTTTCCAAATATTCTTCTTTTCTTGTTTTATGTTTATGTGATTGATTCCATAAGAGACTATCATATTGAAACGGAAGGGACGTTTGGTGGTTTTCGTGAATGGGGGAGGGAGTTGGGGTTTTTTTGCGACACAAGGGTTGGCTGCTAGGGCTGGGTGGAGGGGCGACGCTAGAGGTGGGGTGGGACGGTGGGCCAACGAGGGAGAGACTAGGCGGTGAGGGTGGTGGGTTAAGGTGGCCCGGTGAACGAAGAGGAGAGGATGGGAGGTTTTTATTTTATTTCAGTTTTTTTTAAGCATTTTTTTAAAAAAATTTAAGGTTTTTTTTTAAAAAAATTGTTAAAAAATTGACGAATGAGATTGTGACACGTGTCACTAGTAACCTATTTAGTAGGTTACCAACCGGTTACGTTTCATTTTTGGAAAATATGTATCAAAGGTCGTTTCATTTTGGAATAATCCAAATGTCGTTCTATTCTTGGAAGATCGGTGAAAGGTGGTGTTATTTTTGACAAATTTTCCTTTTTCTAAAACATATCTTAGCTTATCATATATTCATATAGTATGTGTTAGATTGTGACTCGAAATCTAGTAGGGAAGATTTTGAACATAGATATCTCTCAAACTACAAGTGATTTTGAGGTGTTCAAGTTGTAGATGATAGCTTGATTCAAGAGCTTTCCAACGATAGGTCATATGCCCAATTCCGATAAGAAACGAGAAAGTTATGGCCGTTTTACGAAAACCTGACGAAGTTGGAAAATTACGACGAGCGGACGAGCTATAGCTCTATGCGAGTGAGCATCTGGGTGAAAAAAAAAAGGTTTACAAGCAATAAATGTATATACTTTAACATTAATATTTTCAACCATATTTTAGTAAGATAAAAAAATATATAAAAATTTAATAAATTAAAAGTGTATATGCATACGACTGCAAAGTAAATAACAAAGAAGGTCAAATGTATAATAAGTGTAAAATAAATTAACGCTATGGTTAAAAGCACAAAGTTTCATATATGGCTAGCCAAACCGTGTGATTGGAGTTACTTGGGTTATTCGGTCAATCAGTGATTTCTCGATCAAGAGTATTATTATTTGAATGAAATATCTGATGAATTTGATTTAGTTTTGAATGTATTATTTTACCTGTCTAATTTGAATTATATATTTGAATATGATAATATTATCTAGTCTGAACGTATTTTTTACATGGTCTAATTTGAATTATTAAATATAAATTTAAGTATGATAATATAATCTAGTCTGAACGTATATTTTTTTTTATGTCTAATTTTAATTAAATATTTAGTTTAATTCAAATTAAAATAAATATTTAATTTAATTTATAGTTTTCTTCGACGAGGGGTCTATTGAACTGTTGTAGTCGTGAAAGATAATTTCCATTTTGATTCATCAAATTGTAATTGAAGGATTAAACTTTTTTTTATCTCACACAATTTTTTACTAATTTTTTTTTAAACCTACTAAAAGTATATATTACTGTATAAATTCAATAACAAAAACATAAGATAAATTAATAATAAGAAAGGGTCAGACACGTCACATTTATAATGAAGTTATTAAAGTAATAAAAATTAGAAATTAGAGGTTGTTATATACACCTGGGTATACCGTACACCCATGAGTATTTTGTTCTTATTTTGATGATTGTTTTTCATATAATCATCAAATGATGAGCAAAAACTAACTGTGAGTTTTCCTTAAAAAAAAAAAAAAAAAAAAAACTTGAGTTAGTTGAATGTATGATGCACCCGAGTGTCGTATATAACAAACTCTACCACTATCATAAAAAAAAAATTAAAATTATTATTATTATAATAAAAATTAGAAATTAGATTTTTGACAAATAATATCTTTTCAGGTAAACGTAGTCCGTACAAGAATCCAATTGGATCAATAATAGGCTTAGGCTTAGGCTCAGGCTTAGGCGTAGGGTTTGATCAATAAAATAATATCTTTTATTTTATTATTTTTTTTTTAAAAAAAACCTACATTCATAACTAACTTAGCTCTTATTAAGCTTAAAGTTTTTCTTAATACAGCCGTATCCTAATAGGCTTAGGGTTTGAAGGAGGTTAGACAGTTTGGAGGTTTGACTTACCTTTTTATGTTTTGACAAAGGGTTGACTTGTGTCTATATATACATCAAATTGAGATTATTGAGCTCATTAAATTTCATTAAAGCACTTCTTTTTTTTTTTTTAATTAATCAGTCAAAAAAAAAAAATGCATCTTTCTACTAATAATTTTCCATCAACATCAAATTCAGATTACATACAATGGACTCCTGAAGAAAACAAGAACTTTGAAAAGTGTCTTACATTGCATGATCTTTACAATATGGACGCAAATAGTTTCTTCCAACAAATCTCCAAACTTCTCGGCCAATCAAGAACTCCGCAAGAGGTTAAACTTCACTTCGACCAACTTTTGTACGACCTTGGGAGGATCGAAGCTGGCCTGGCTGATTACTTCCCACCACGTTGGTACGAGGAGGAGAATAGTTGTCGCGTTATCCCAACCCATCCGGATAAAAAGAAAAAGAATAGCAGCAAAGGGGGGGCTCAGTGGTCTAAGGATGAACACAGGTACGTACATTGTTGTTATTATTACAACGTAGTAGTATGAAATTTGATCAACGGCTTAATTATTCTTTATTGTTTTGGTTTTAGAAATTGAATAGAATAATTAATCAATGTTAATTACATCACTTACAATTAATATAGATCATCATTAATCTTTAAATTCTTTAATTATATGGAGTACAAATTTTAACTCTTCAATGATAATCTTGATGAATTCTTGAACATAAACTATGATATATAATTGATCAATGGTATTTGATTTATTTCATCTAATATTCTAGGGTTAATTTTTAGTTTTCTTGAGAGACTAGGTTTTCTTTAAAAGTTTATTATATATAGTCACTATTGTCTCAAACACAATAACCTTGAATTCTTGATCATAATCTATGATATATCAATGATGTTTCATTATTTTTTTTTATTAGTATTTACGTACTCTTTGAGAGACTAGGTTTTTTTTTTTTTTTTTTTTTTTTTTTTTTTTTTTTTTTTTTTTGTGGCTACCTTTAAAATTTTGTACTTTCTACCATGATTTAATAATCTTGAATTCTTGATTGATCATAAATCTTTAATATATCATCAATGTTTAATGTTTATTACACAGTTCTTTTACCTTAAAAATTTTTGTACTCTTTGCGCCACACATTAATAATATTGAATTCTTGATCATAAATCTATGACACATCATCAATGTTAAATTTATTTCATGTAATATAATCAGGTAATATTATTTTACAGTTTTATGATACACTATATTTTGTGAAGATATAATGCTTAAATGTACCTTGGATTTTTGTTGTATGTAAGTATATCTTGTTACCCTACTCTTTTACTACGTATTTATTTTTAATTACTATCTCCGTTAATTATTATGTACAACAAAGGGGTATTATTTGCGAGATATAAAATATTCCTTTGTTGCACATAATAATTAATGGAAGTAGTATTTATTTTGCATACTATTTGGATGTTGACAACCTAAAATAAAAATCCTAAACCCGCCTAAATTTTTAATTTTCCTATTACAGGTTGTTTGTAATTGGATTGGAACTTTATGGATTGGGTGCTTGGAAAAGCATATCAAGGTGGGTTGTGTTAACAAGGTCTGCAACCCAGGTAGCCAGCCATGCCCAAAAGTTCTGTAACAAGAAAAACTGTCCGAAAGTCACTAAGAGGTCTAGCATCCATAACATTACTACCGTCAGTGTTGATGAAGCTCACGATCTCTGTAGAAAAGGGAAACTTTCACCTCAAATACTAGACGCGTATCTACAAAAACTTGGTTATGGTCCCGATCAACAAGAAGCTCATACATCAGAGCCTCTGGAAACACTTGCCTCTGGTTGTGTCCAACAAGAAGCTTATGTGCAGGAGCCTCTTAATACACTTGCCTCTGGTTGTGTCCAACAAGAAGCTTATGTAGCGGAGCCTCTAAATACACTTGCCTCTGGTTGTGTCCAACAAGAAGCTTATGTAGCGGAGCCTCTAAATACACTTGCCTCTGGTTGTGTCCAACAAGAAGCTTATGTAGCGGAGCCTCTAAATACACTTGCCTCTGGTTGTGTCCAACAAGAAGCTTATGTACCAGAGCCTCTAAATACGCTTGCCTCTGATTGCTACCAGCAAGAGATGGATGAATCTGAACTGGAGATGCTTCTCAAAGATCCTGTATTAGAACTTGCCTCTAGTTTGTTTTAACAAGAAGCCTATACATCAGCGCCAAGGGCAGCAGAGCCATGAACAAGAGAACGATGCCAGTGTTCTTAGTCTAGTACGTAGTAGTAGCATTCTGACTTATTACATAGTAGTAACTAGTAAGTTGTATAGTTAGTAATTTAGTATTCTTTCAGAACAATTCAGCTAAGCATATCTTAGTACGTTTGGATGAATAAATTAGAGTTAACATGGCCGAATAAAGATATCGTAGATTACTCGCTTGCTAAATTTACAGGTGAGTTACAGTATCCAATAGGAGTATTATGATTGTTTTACAATGCAAATATTTTCATGTATTCTCGACTTCCTATACAAAATCTTTGGAAGAAATTTCACTATCACTACAATGAGAAATAAATTGAATTAACCTCTAAGTAGCTCTGGCCTCTGGGTACTCGAGGATATTTGATAGAACATCGCGTATAATTAACTTGCTCCGTCCCAGTTGAACCATAATTCCCTCAAATTTTATATCCCTGCTTTTCTTCCATGTACAAGCAACAACCCTTTTGTTTGGAGTTAATAGTCCAGCTCAATATAGAATCATAATCAATGAGAAGACCATGAGCAAGTAATTCCTATGATGCTTGCTATGCAGACCTGAAACACGTAAATCATATAACTAAAAATCAGCAAAGAGTATCACGGATTGATTATTACTGAGTTATCCAACTAGAATATCTACCCATCTAACTGTCAATCATAAGAGGTAATGTTGCACTCATCTTAACCTTTTAAACCCTACAAACTAGAAAATAACGAGATGCCTGACTCACCAGTTTCACCAGAAGCTGCTGCTGGAAGAGCAGGAATGTTTAAAGCTGCAGGGAAAACCGAATTATGAACATGAGCAGCTAATTGATGATAAGCAATGCAAATGATCAATATAAACACATCTTGTTTATCAACAATAGCCAAATAATCAGCAATTCAGCATTAAACAAAAGAGCATACAGTAGACAAAACATACTTTTATTGCACGAAGAAGCTGGCAACTGAAGTGCGGAGGGCCAAGGAGCCGGAATGTTATCATTCAGATCACAGAGGAAGGTTATCCCTGATGTCTTATCAAATGTAACATCGGAAGGCAAGCTCTGCAGAAGACATCCAGATTCTGGAACCAAAAATATCAAATTATGATACAAAAAATGTGGATTCTAGGTGAGGATAGATGACAAAAGTCACTACAGTTGTCCAATAATGCAATAGAATGGTAACCCTTGGCCCTTAGGTTTAAAGATTTTTATGCATTACGCAATACTGCATTAGCACATACTTAAGGAGTTGAGATTTTGGACAATTTTGGGTAATTGTGGTTTCATTTATGATTATCTAAGAATGGAATACAAAATAAACACGCATGCAATTTTAAGTGACTAAAAAGCCCTCCATCAAACAGACTAGATACGTATTCAGTAGTGCAGCATAAACTTTTGGTATACATCTGTTTCATTCTTCTTGCTTGAAAAAGAATTCTGCCCTCCTTTGTGTGTTCACTCATATTGAGCAGCAGAAAGTTGCACATTAAGTTTGTACCAAATGGGATTGGGAGGCTCTAACTCATTAATTTGCAATGTATATAAAATAATTTATATATTCTTTTCTTGTTAAATGACTCATCGAGAAAGCAACTCAGCATGGCAAGTGCCACAATCAGTTGCTACACATCCAGGTGAAGATAATGCAGAAAAAATTACTGATTTAAAACAGGGAAAGTAACCAAACTAGTTTATACAGGACCATCTTCTCAAAGCTATATAATCAACCAGTTCAGCATTTACCTTGTGTTCCAGCTGGTGTGATTGCCATATATCATATCAAGCCGGTGCGACAAGGCCAAATGAAGAAGCAAAAGGCCCAAAGAGGGAAGAAATGAAGGTTAGCTCTGTTATTGATACTGATATAAAGAATTGGAAGCAATAATGCATGAACAAATTACCTTGTACAGAGAATTGCTTGAGGCTCACATGACAAAGATCGTACACATTAGTAGTAACATTTTCTCTTTGCAACTTCAATCCAAGCGCAGCAGCACAATTGAGTGCTTGCAAGTTGGTGACAAAACTCTGATTCTGCAAGTGACTCACATAGCTTTCTATGGCACTACAACATGCAGTTTGGTTGCTTATTACATTCGCACACTTCTTTGCAACATGTCTTGTGTCAGGGAAAGTTAAAGGACACACTGGAGATGAGAAAAGATGCACAGGGTCATCGATGAAAAGCAGGCTATTCTTTTTTGTTCTATCTTGGCAATTCTGACTTTTATAATGCAATAGAGTATTTAGATAGCGCTATGAAAAAATCATACAAGCAGACTATTCTTTACAGCATTTGTTTAATGATCAACAATGTTCAATACCTCTTGTCCTTTTTTTTTAACATTGACTTGGTAAATTACATCACAGCTTCTAGTGGTACTAATTCAAGCCAGCGACAAGTCATTCTACGACTCTGCATACTGATCCAGATGCAATATTATAGTAAAAAGATAAGACACTAGAATTGTTTAGAGCTTCCAAACACAAGGTTTTTTTAGATCTTTAATCCCTTTAGATTGTGCCGGCCTACTGGGTGAGTAACAAACAATCTTTCCGCATGTGTTCAAGCTCCAAGGCAAAAAAATCACATCTCGGATTCATTTGTAAACATTTAGACACCTTTTCTAATGCATAATTATTCCAATGAAATGAAGCATTATTTCAGGATCCTACACCTAGCTTCCTAAGCTAAAATTAAACTCTGCTACAACAACTATCAAGCACAGTTCTCACCTTTGTTGATATGGCAATTTGACAACCCTCTTATAACTTCTTTTGCACGGGAAGGATTGAGTTTACTAGCCAGCCACCGCAAAACAATACTTTGACAATCATCATCAATATCTGAAAGCTGAGGGACATCATTAAGATCACCAAGCTTCGAGCTGAGATTTCTAGCAGCTTCTGATAAAGCATTCTGACAAGTTTGGGAGCAACATTCTTTGACAAGATCAATCTTTTGACAAGATGCCAGAAGCTTGGAAGTGTCCACTGATTTCTCAAATTCACTGACATCCTTGACAGGACAAGAGCCTTCAGTGAGATTGGATTCTCGAATTTTGCATATCTGCTGAAGATCGTTATTTGCACCCTGGCTCACCAATACTTGATTAACGTCAGATAGGCACTGCTTAGAATGTGTCTCATTCAGGGCAAGCAACTTGGTCTTCTTACTGGACTGACCCATAAGAATAACTAAGGTGGCATGTAATTGCGGGCAACATACTACATTAGCCAAATATGGAGCAAACGCAGTAAAGCAATCAGTGGCTGTAATTCCCATCATACTTTCAGCAGCAGTGAAGTTAAAAGGACATGCTCCTACAATGAACAGTCTATTAGTTGATACCTCAGTGGAATGTGCATCATTTACTGGGAAATCAAGAAAAGCTGGTTATTGTGTATCTACCTGATAATTTGGGCACTGTACTATTTGTAAATGGAGTCAAAGGTGAAGGTGCCAGAAAAGGAAGAAGGGGCTGAGGAGCCCCAAATGGCGACATAGGTAAGAAGTCTCCGCCATCCGGGGCAGGATCTCCGAAATAACTCAATGGGGTACAATACAATTCAGTGGCATCTGTAGAAGAATAATCTGTAAGCTTAAATAATCTATGTAGTATTACAGAATTTTTTTTAACACTTATCTATTATATGAAGCTGTTTTAAAGACAGCCACACAACAGAAATATCCAATGTTTCAACCGGACTTGCAGTTTTCATCTCACTTAGGCATTCTTCAACGCATAATTTCATTTAGCATTCCACTATAAATGATAATACAAAACGGCTTTCAGCTAAGATCACATACAATTCAATACTAAGTCAAGAATTCGAAGGAAAAGCTAGGAATCTGTGGTGATCTTTCATACATTGTAAAGTATCCAATCAGTGTAAGCTTAGTTCATCAATAATTGAAGTACATATGCTCTCTACGTATACAACAAAGGTTTTTATATTGGATTAACCACTTAATTGACATAGTCCAACAAAATTCAAGAGCATTTTCTAAAGAACCTTCTAAGAAAAGAAAGGGCCAATTTACATAAGTTTCTCCTCAACAGTCAACATTATCCTGAATATTACTCCTTTGAAACATTAAGCACAAAAATAAATATGTGACATTGTGAATAGAAAACACAAACAAATCCAATACAGATGCTAGTAAAATTTATAGTACTCAATAATAATAATCTTTAAAGAAATACAAGTAAGACAAGACAATAGAAACTAGTAAAAAAACTTGAAAGGGAATTAAGCTCACTTGTAGACAAAAAATATATTTTGTCCAAGACAAATTTCTAGCAATATAAGATAAAATTATCTGGACTGAAATGAGAGTACAGCACATACTACCAAAGCTATAAAATCTTGAAATAACAACTACCTTAAACCAAAATTTAAAGGTCCAAACCACATTTTATAAAAATAACCAAAATAATGAAATACCCATTTCCTCATTTGCAAAGAACATCACATAAATCTGAAATTCACTGCAATATTACTCATAACTAGGTCACTATCAATAAGACCTAATTGGGGGAGCTTTGCCCCCTCGGCCCCTTAGGGATTAACCCGGGGCTAAACCAGATTAGTCGGAGTCTAGTAGGCTCTGGATTACCAAGTGAGGCACCCTCGAAATGAACAAAAAAAGCTAAAATACAAGCAAATCAACCTTAAAAAGTACGAAAATCAGCAAAACTTACAGAATAATACAAGAACTGAGCTGAAAAACTGAAGCTTGATGAAGTAAGTGAAGACCCCTCCTCTCATTCCTGCCCAAAAACTGGTAAAATCACAAGAAAAATGCCAAAAGTAGTAAAACAAGAGAAATTAGTTGGTACCCAAAGCATTAAAAGGGAAGATTTCTGAAAGAAAAATGAATTGAATATAAGGTAATTTCACAAATTAAAGTGTTCTAAAAATTGAAGAACAAGAAATGAAGAGGGGTTTTTGGTTTTTGCAGCAGTAGAGTAAACACTGAAAGTGGGGTCAGCTGAAGTTTCAGCAAAATTAGCTGGTTTTTGCTGGAGGAAGAAATTGGGGACCTCTTTATTTTACACAGAATAAATTAAATTAAATATTTTTAAGAAAATCTTTCCAATAAAAAAAAAAAAAAAAAAAAAAAAAAAAAAAAAAAAACATTTTTAGGGGGGAAATAAGATGGGGGATGGTGGAAATAAAGAGGTGCGCTAACTCATATACAACAGCATTGTTTCATTTAATGCTCCCATTAATTGCCTGCCTCTACCTCCAACTCAAACATTTCAAACGATCAACATAGATCCGCCTTTGGATAGATAGATAATTGTATATATTACTACGAGTATTTTATTATTACTCTATCCGTCTTTATTTGTTTTTACAAATGTGTTTTGTCTTCCCGTTTAAATAAGATGAACAAAATAGATTTAAGGGGATTATTTTAATTTATTCATGTAATATAAATATACCGTCCTAGTTGACTTTACTATGATATCTCGGAATGTAGTGTAGGATTTAAAAGGAGCAAGGCATTATTCTATTTGATCAATTAGATCACTAACTCAATTGATAATGGTTTCATATGGATCTTTAAAAATCAAGAAAGTGATAATAAAAAGTAAAAAGTAAATGCTTATCTTTGTTGAATAAAATTGAATTTAACACTTCTTACACAAATAAAATGAATTTAAGAGTATGAAGCTTTATAAATTTGACTTTCTCTAATTTAATGTGACAACTTAACATAAATTGGAAAGCAAAATATTTCATATTTGAGACATACATCTATTAAACATAACTATTAACATGACATAAATTGTACGAATTAGACGTAATTTGAAGTGTACATCTTGTAGAGTGATTTGAAGTGTACATCTTGTAGAATGCTAATACACGTTTTTAAACTGTTAGTAATCAACTAATCACCAACACGACCAATTTACTATAGGATCCATCTCCATCTCCATATCCATTTTCGTACATATATTTACTCTTAATTACTCAACAATTAGTACACTAGCTCTAGTCCCACCATTGGTGTGATTTGGGTCCATAGTGTTGGGCTAGACTTGTTTAGAAAACCCACTTGAGCAGTCTTTTTGTCAAAAAACATTAAATGGAGATGATTTTGAGCCTTGTGTTTGTGTTGAGATTGTTGACAACCAGCCAACCAATCGACATTAAATGTATAGGTTAAGGAAGTACGCCAAACGTGAATACCTCCCAAAGCAACCATTGAGTAAAGCCGAAGATTGAGTAAAACAAACACCACAACTTAGAGGCGACTATTGACCTAGCTTAGATGAGCACTGAAAAATACTTGGATAACTCTTTGGTATGAAAAATGAGAAAATAAAACAAATACATCAAAAGAGCATATGTATGTATAACTATTGCTTACTATTGAGGGTTGAAAGTACGCATTTACAAGTGAAACTAATTTAAGTATAATACTCGACCAAAATTGAGTGATGGAGAAAGTATGAGCACGTCCAACTATTATAGAGAATTTTGTCAAGAATGTGTATTCAATTAGTCTGCATTGATTATAAACAAGGTATATATACAACCTAAGTCAAGGGCCTAAACGTAGCCCGTTAACAAACTAAATACAATATATGTACCGGCTTAACCCTCCCCCCCCCCCCTCAAGTTGGAGCATGCAAATCACAAGTGCCCAACTTGTCAAGTAAATACAAAAATTGGTGTTTACTTATCGCCTTAGTGAAAATATCCGCTAGTTGATCTGTTGTCTTCACATACGACGGACTTATGATCCCTTCCTGAATTGCATCCCGAACATAATGACAATCAATCTCAATATGCTTAGCGTTGTCATGGAAAACCGGATTCTGCGCAATATATAACGCAGATTGACTATCACAAAACTCCTAAGCTTAAGAGTAGTGCCTTTAACCATTTTAACTCATTCATGGCCTTAGACATCGAACGATACTTTGCCTCATTGATCAGCAGGTCGAAGATTTAGAAACAATATCCCGTTATTTCTTAGTCTTCTAAGATATAGGAGAACCACCAAAAAACACCAACCAACCAGTAATCGAATGTCTCGTCAAAGGACAACTAGCCCAATCCGAGTCACACCAACCTGTCAAATGTAAATTGCAATCTAAACTCAATATAATCCCTTGACCCGGAGAACCCTTCAAGTAGCGCACCGTACGAAGGGCCGCCTCCCAATGATCCTGACGAGGTTGTTGCATAAATTGGGACAGAATATGATGAACTGTGTATGCCAGATGAGGTCTGGCTAGTGAAAGACAAATAGATCAAATGGCCCACAAGACGCCGTTACATTTTGGGGTTTGTAATAGGAGGTGTCTCTGATTTTGCCTGAGTATGATTCTGCTCGATTGGAGTACTTGTCAGTGTTTAGGGTTTAGGTAGGCTCTGATATCATGTCAAAAATGTGTATTCTTAGTTTGCATTGAGTATAAACAAGGTATATATATATACAACCTAAGCCAAGGGTCTAAACGTCCCGTTAACAAACTAAATACAATATATGTATAGGCTTAACAAATTTTATATAAAGATAAGTGTATGCATGCATAATTTTACACGACCTCTTCACTTTATTGAGTAAGATAAATGATAAGTCTTATGACTCTATCACTACTTCCTTTTCTTAATTGGGTAACAATGTAACATAGATCTTATTTAACTTTCTTCTTGCTTATATTAGCTTCTGAAAAAGGAACGAACTTCTCATCAACTTCAAAATCCACATTAGGACTAATAGTTAATCCATCCAAAGGAAAATTAATAATTAAAAAAAATAATATGATATTATACTACCTCCGTTTCTAAAAGTTCGACTCACTTACTATTCATGTGGTCAAAATAAAAAACTTTGACTTTATTTTATGATTTATACAATCAAAAGAAATTAACAAGTTTGATCTTATAAGATTTCCCTAATTATAAAAATTTTCAAAAATCAACTTTTTAAAAATTTTACTTATACATAGCCAAAGTTATTAATGGTCAAAGATGCTAATTAGAGCCTATATAAATGCAAAGTACGAGTTGAACTTTTAGGAAAGGATGGGAGGGAGTATATTGTTTACGTTAACTTCAAGTATCATTGATCCATTGACTTTGTAAGGAGTAGTATCATTCACATTTTGTTGGCTAGAGATAAGAAAATTGCAATAGTTCAAACTTTGATTAAATCCTCACTACTTCCCCTCTTCGCCTCTTCCCCAACAAGCTAAGGCACCTTCCATGCTACTTGCATAAAACTACAAATGAAGATATAAAACAAGAAATAAGACAATAAATTACAATATTCATATACATAGTAATTGATATAAGAAACATGCTGGTTTATATATATATACACACGCGAGAGATGGAGGAAAAGTAAAAGTGATTTGAAAACCTCTTCAATCACGAACTAATCCAACTAAAATTTTATTGTAATTAATAATCCTACTAATAATGGATGGCAATAATAAGAAACGACCGCGGTTCACATTTTAGGGTTCTGTGTACAACAACATACTTATAGCACACGTGTAGTTCATGACATCAATCAACAACAATAAGTCTATTAAATAAAAAACATCCCGCTTTACAGATCGATTGTTCAAACTCAAAAAAAGAAACGAAAAGAACTTATACATCACGTCCCTAAGAGGAGGAAAATGAAGTATAACAAAAGGAAATAAGGAAACTCAAAAAAGAAACGAAAAGAACTTGTACATCACGTCCCTTAAGAGGAGCAAAATGAAGTATAACAAAAGGCAATACTAAGGAGAAAATTAATCAACCCCTTAGCTTAAAGCTTAATTAATTATCTCCCCCTCTAAAACCACTTACATTAATATTAATATATACGTAATATGTACGTATTACATGCATATATATATACACTATACAATATATATACATGCAACTAGCAAACTACATAGAATATAATTATAATATAATGTTACAATCATCAATTCACCTCAGGAATGCTTTGAAGGGCGGGCATCCATGACCGTTGATTATGGATCTCAAAATGATCACTTTTATCAATCAAATTTTGCAAAACTTGATTAGCCTTCATTTTCTTAAATTGGGACCCACTTTTATTATTATTATCATCTACCCTTTTTAGCAACTCTTCAAGTTCCTTCTTTGAGATCCTTATTCTCACTTGATTTCCCGTAGTCCCAACCGTAGAGGATGATTCCTTACAACCACCTAGAAGCTCTTCCTTTTCCATGGACTCCGATGTGTTGGGCCCCCAATCGTCTTCGGCCCACACCGCCACCGTTGATGAACCATGGATTGCACAACAATGGTTTCCCATTTTACAAAGATGTTTAATTTTTGTAGTTGATTTAAATGACGCGTAACCTGATATTACTGCCTGATATGCACTGTTGCAACTAAAAGGTAACGGTGGATATATCTATAGACGTACTCGTATTAAGGTTTAAGGACAGACAAATGGCAAAATACTTGAAATTATTGGTTATAATATAAGAAAGGAATGAAGGAGAGATTGAAGAGTGGGAATGAGAGGGTATATATATATATATATAGCAAAGGTCACAAAAGTAGAAGTCGTTGCATGTTCTAAGAAAGTGGGAAATTTTGCTTACCCAAATTAATTAAAAGAAAATTGGTGGAAAACAAAAAAAGAAAAAAAGTGAGGTGATGTGAAGGGGTACGTGGCAAGATTAGATAGGCTCATTTGGGTTAGGTTGGCGGACTTTTCACCAGTAACCGTGTCGTGGCAGTAGATTATTGGATAAAATTGAATTAAAGATTATAATTTATTTTTCATTTATTAGTGTGGGAGGAGTAAAAAGGAAGGTGTTTTATAGAGTAAATAAATTTAATTAATTAAAAGAAGAAATGGTCATTTTAATTGAAGTGGACAGTGTGGTAAAGGTCATTGTCGACGTAGTATTCTAGATGTTTATTATTGATGGGTACTACGAGTAATAACTGTGTTTGTGGATTACTTCTACTCATCTGCTACTACTCTTTCTTGTTAAGTTTACTCCGGCGTAGGGCCGGGGAGGCGCTGGTGGGGAACTCTTAGCGGGACACCGTGTGTGATTTCCAATCACTTGGATTATTTTTGGACCTAATTGAATTCACAAATTTTTATATTTGGTTAGCCATATCGTGTGGTCAGCCATCATATAATAGGATGAGAGTTACTTAATCCGTGTTAAAAGAGTTACTTCATAAGAGTTACTCGGTCAGTATTATAGAGGTTTACTCAGTCAGCCGTACAGGATTTATTTGGTCAGTGTTATATAAGTTACTTTGTTCTTTTATATATAATTATTAGTCACACGG